CGTTCGACGTGAAAGGCTTAAGGGAAGGCCTTTGTCCAGCAGTGACCTTTTTCCGGCTGATGATGATAGGCAAATGAAAACTAATTTCCAGAGTTTTGAGTTCCAAGTGCGTTGTTTTGATTTCAGTCACAATCTTCAGAAGACAGCGAAACAGGAGGGATAGGGACTCCGGCAAACTCATACGGCGAAACAGAACGTGGTGAAGCTTATAGTTGTTTTAGAATAGAATAGAATAGAATAGAATTCTTTATTTGCAAAGAATGTAGGTACAAATTATTTGGTGTTACATAGTTTTAAGGTTCCTTGTACATTCTACCATAATTGGCATGCAAATTTACATAAAAGAAATTATAAATTAAATTAAAAATTAAAATTAAAAAATTAAATTAAAACTTATCATCTAAATCTTTTCATTTTTTCAATTCTTGATTTTATATCGGGTTTCTATGACTAACATCCATTTATCCATCCATTCTTACTTACAATCTTTTGTCTATATATTATTAGTAAGATGAATAACTTCATAACGAATTTCGAGTACTGTTAAATATCACAAACATAATAACATTAAGGATGGTTATAAAATGATTAATTTAGAGTAACAGTCGCACTGCTCTGCCAATTTCGCGGTTTTCAACCCTCGGCTGCGTGCCGGGGTGAATGGCCTTGTTATCGCGATATTGGGTGTTCCAACTGAGTAAATAATAACAAATTGCTACCGTATTATGGGCTGGAAACCAGATTATGGTGTGAAATTTCTATTGAAGGCTTGGTAACTGATTGTTTGAAACGTAGAACATTTATTACTTGATGTGGTAAAGGGTTTTCTATAAAGTACGTCACACATAAAGTGGGTAGAGGGGGGTCGACAAAATGTGACATGGTGTGATTGGTTCCAAGTTTTGTCTTAAATATCTAGGGTAGGTACGAATCGAGTAGAGAATAAAGTAACTTGAAATTTTAATCAAATTAAAAAGTATTTTCGACTCTATCCTTAAAGAATCACGATTTAAACCGATGTTGACGAGTTCATACCCGCTCTAGCGACACGGGCAGATCGCGTGATTTTATTTTAATGATTATTCGATGTGAAAATGCAAAACATGTGTCATCACACTAGGGTGTGGGGGAGGTCTCCAAAATGTGACCACTTGTGGCAAGAACGGGGAGGGTGTGCTAAAAAATCATAAAATTTATGTCACGTTCTTTATGGATGACCCCTAAGAAGATGGACGGGGATGGATGTAAATACTTTTTTGACTATCTGTGTTGTGAGTGATATTCTTCTCTTTTCTGTGTCTTAATTCGCGTTGCTAAGGGTCGCGACGACCCTTGTTTTTCTGCATCACTACATCACTATCCATCGAACGATCTTCCTTCATATAATTTTGTCGCTGGTAGTGTGGCGGGCGTTCTAGATAGTGAAATTTAATGCAGTGGAACTGAGCAGACTAACGCATTAGGCTGCAACCCTTTACCAATCACAATAAATAAATTGGTTTCGTTGTGTCAGCTTGTTTCTTATATATAAGGCTAGAAGACTTTTGAACTTGTAAGTATAAATGTTTCCTTCCTTCCCAATTGTTCTTCTTCTCTTCCAGTCCCTGTATATCCAAAACTCTAATCCACAAAAACTTGCAACGCAGGCATTTGCAATGCCTCGAGTATTGCGAGTGTCTATTGGCGCCACTAATTGCGTACCATCAGGTAATCTACCGTTACCACATCAAAAAATCTACCAAAAATTACTCGATAACAATTCATTTTACTGTTATTTTTTTAAACAAGGCGTAATCACGGTTAGATTTGTCGTCATTTAACGAAAAATAATTCTTAAGAAAAGAATTATTTAGAAGAAATCTAGGTCAATAAATAATTTAAAATGAAAAAGTACTTTTACCTTTAACATCCAAATAGGAATTACCTTTTAGTATTTTTTTTTACTTTTTACTTTCGGAACACGTTGCCAAGTTAAAAGCGTAATGTACTCGGAAAATTTATTTCATTTCGAGTAAATTTTCTGCTTTAAAGAATATCAAGTAAGGGTTCAATGCCCTCTATTCACGTTTTGTTTATGTGATACCAGGAAAACAATATCTTGTTGGCTCTTTTATTATCGCTGTTGCCAAGCGGTTTTGACAAGGCCACTTCTATTCGATGGACTACAAATTGAAAAATAAAATTGACTTGTAAATAATTCGGTATATTTTGTTGAAACACATATGTAATTTAAACGGTATAAATACACATAAAATATACATATTTAAATACTAATAATTTCGAAATATTATAATAACACACTTGCGACATAAGTCACCATGATCATAATTGGGTCTGCCGAGCAAGGAAAACCAAGTTATATTCAGGTTAATATTAATATTAGTGAAGATTTCAGAACTCAGAATCTAATACTAAGCCTATTAAGTGGTCATGATCAGTAGGACTCAAAGTTATTTAAAAGTCCTCCAAACAAAATCACACTAAGTAATAATTAAAGTAATCATTAAAAATATCTCTGAGTAATATAAAACTCTTTGTTATTAATACTTATTTCTATGATACTGCAACAAATGCATAGAAATACAGAAAGACGGACGAAATATTGTTAACTAAGCCTTATCTCATGGGAAAGATGGGATTACAATGTGAACTGAATTATAGCCGTGCGGGACTTAGTACAAGAAATCGATTCAAGATGGAGCTACATACGCCTGAATGTACTAGACTTTGGAGTGTATTTGTTTCAGTGAACTCTCAAAATGCCTTTTTTGTGAGGGGAAAATCATCAAATGACTTCTCTCGCCCAGATTGAGGCGTGAGGGAGTGTCAGACTCTTGCTGTTTAAAAACTCCCTTTGATTCTCCTCCTCTAGGCCGCGGTGCCTTACTGCGCTGACCCCGCGACTTTGGCTGAACATCAGCCCTTATGTTTTTATAATAACTATCGAGAGACATACTAAATTAACTAAAAATCGCGGGTTACTCACGTGTACATATTGAGAAAAGCTCTACTAGTTTCGAACCACAGAGGGGTTCTTCCTCATGAGCAGCGTGCGCGGACGCGGCGACGTCGCGCAGCCTACTAGAGCTTTTCTCAATATGTACACGTGAGTAACCCGCGATTTTTAGGTAATCAGCCCTTATGCCTAGTGTCAGTTTGCATTAAGTTCACCAGATTGACACTTAATGACGTTCTGCGCTCTGATTGACCTTCTCCAATTTAACCAACCAATCAGAGAGCTAAACACGGTAACGTTTCGATCACGTTAATGTGAAAAGAAGTCTATTAGATTATATGTGAGTAATTTACGATTACTATTACCAACCTAAAAATAAAAAACTTTCGTAATCATTTAATTTCATATTTAATCTTATATTTTAAGCATAAATAAAGAAGAACAAGGCTAAATTTAAATTATAAAAAATTGAAAACTATAATAATGAAATGCAGCGAGCTTAAACTGTAATAGGTATAGTTTAATTCAATTTTATTTTTATGTTTTTGTTTTTTTACGCAGTCGAAACAAAAACAAATTGAACTATGTTTCATAATAATTAATTAGAGATACTTTTTCTACTTTTTGATACTCCGTTGGTCTGCAACCATGCATATAGGATGCTAGCACGGTGCTGCCTGCACACTCTAACCACACATCGAATTACCACCCCAAAAATGCCGAACACTCCCAAAGTATAACCGGTACAATAACATATTTTGTACGTTTGTAATTCAATCGCTAAACCATTTAAGAAAATAATGAGCGGTAACATCTTAAATTTAGATGACGACTCCAGAATAATGACTTCTAATGTCTTAAAATTACAGCTTAAAATTATAGTCACACAACCGTTTATGACAATCAGTATAAAGGTAACATTGTAAATTGGTTTTAATAGGCTCATTAAGTTCAAAATTAAATGAATAATTTTAATAGGTTGGGTTCAATGTGTGTTGATCATTATTGTTTGATGATCCCAACATACAAAATGAGTACCTAATTAACGTAATTGAATTTTTGATTTGTAAGCCAAAGTCTACAGCCATTTCGCATACATTTAACACCCAGACTCAGAACAATAATGTGTGGATCTCATAAAAAGTTGACCCGTGTGGGAATCGAAACCGCTTAACATAGCACTACAGTCAATTGCCCAGACGCTTCTAGCGTCAACGATGCAGTCCAAGAGGCAATACTAACTTTTCACCAATCACGACGCGAAAGAATCAAATTCGTAAAAGTGAAAAAGATTCTGCTAGCCACGAAAGGACCATCAAATTTATTAGTGTGAAAACCATTCTTCTAGGCACGAATTAATTGGCTCGACCGGAATTATAGGTATAATAACACCACGATTTCGCAGAAAACCGACGTGAATCATAGCTTTAAGTTGTCTTTCATCATATATTATGAGCTAAGTAATCTGAAACCCAACTCAAAAAAAGGAATGTGCAACTGACATATTACCTCCGCTGTTGCGAATAATTTTGAGAGGAGTTTGTCTTATCTAACTTTTAAACTTTCGCGGTTCATATTTACAACATATACACGTGTGGGAGAGCCATGCTTCGGCACGAATGGGTTGGCTCGACCGGAGTGATACCACGGCCTCACAGAAGACCGGCGTGAAACAACCACAGCGTTGTGTTTCGCCGTGTGAGTGAGGTTACCGGAGGCCCAATCCTTCCCCTCCCCTAATCCCTCCTTAATCCCTAAATCTCCAAATCGCTAATCCCTAAAAGGTCGGCAACGACCTCGTAACTCCTCCGTTGCGAGTGTCCATGGGCGGCGCTGATTGCTTATCATCAGGTAATCCGTCTGCTCGTTTGCCGACCCATTACATAAAAAAATACCGACCTATTACATAAAAAAAATATAATTACACGGGTATTAACGCGAAAAATAATTATTTAATTACCTTGGCAAGGTTGACGTTTCAATCTTGTTTCACAGGCCGTGATCGCCAAAAGACATGAATGAAAAGAAAATTTTATTTTCTTACCTTGACCACAAGAGCCTCAACTTCTTGATCGTACTTAAGTGCAAAATGCAGCTTGCCGCAGAACTCCAGTTCAGCACTCTCGGTGGATGACTGACGAACTAACTCGTTCTTGTACAGCTCCGGCTGCAAACAAAGACGTGTGTTATTTTGTTACTCTTTTTGTTATTATTATAAATAAGAAATCAACATTAACTGTTTGTGACAGTAGTCGACTACTAGCAACTTATTTAATTGCCATGTTTTATTAACAATCTCTTTATCTTTAACGACCTGCTTTTTTATGAGATAGGTCGGCAATCCGTCAGGCGGATTACCTGATGGTAAGCAAATGGTGCCGCCCATAGCCAACCGTAACTCTAGAAGAGATACAAGTGCATTGACGGCCTTTTGGGAGAATGAAAAATTGGGGACGGATGGGGGAAGGGCGAGCCTACGTGAGAAACTTCATCAGCCATCTAAACAATTGGCTAATCGTTCAAGTTGATAGTTTTATGACTGATAAAAACTAAATTTGCTCGTCACCTAAAAATCTAAATTCGGACAAAAATAATTCGCAGCATTCTCAATTCTAACATAAATGAAACAAGACTGTCAATAATTTAATTACTCTTTTATCCTCGGACATTAACCTTCAAAAACATTACAGGCCTACAGTCGAAAACAATAAAAACAGCTTCCTTTGTAACCAATATCTCTTAAATGTGATTTACGGTATAAATATAGCCATTTAAATTTAACAGAGCCAATAAAAATATTCAATAGAGCGTACTGTTTCACGGTAAACCTAATTTTATGGGCGGCTTTTAAAATTTGTTGGCGTAAAAAGTGGTCAAATAAATTTTCTGTGCCTCAATATTGACAATTTCGTTAATAATTCTTAATAGATACGCCAAAATTAAAAGTAATTTGAGGAGTTTTTGAAATGTTCGACTACAGTAGTCCGCGTTTCTATCTGATAGGCCCCAAAGAACAGACAAAAATCCTGACGGTAAGATTGAATTCGTTTTCGACGACACACGTGTATCCACTTGAATATTATTGTTGTAACAGATATTTTTCTTAAAACTTGACTAGTTTCAAGCAACGCTGGGGTCTCACACACATGCGCAAGATTCGTGACGCGAAGAAAGTCACTATTCGAGGCATCATGTGATTAAGTCATTACTTTATCAGTATATAACAGTCTGCTGCCTCAAAGGCCTCTTCTCACACGGAAAAGGTAATAGCATTAATCAACAGGCCTGCTTAAAGCAAATTGGCGATTTCAAGCTTTTAGTCAGAAATAATCAATCCAACTTTCCGCAGGATGTTTTCCTTCACCGTTTGTCAGAGGTGTCTAAATACATTTTGAAATATATACATATTACGTAGAAAAGTCACTTATTGAAGCTTGCCAGGTTTCGGACCCGCTTTCTCATGCATGAGAATGAGGTGCCTTATCCACTAGGCTACCACAGCGGTTTCGATTAGATTTATTCATCAAACCCCAAGCAGACGCCAGCGTTCGCGCACCTATTATACTTCTTTTGTGTCTCCAATGACCTTGATTGAAATGTTAAACAAAATTAACAAGGAATTACAATAAGAGACTCATTAATTTGCCTACGTAGGTAGGTAATATTCGTAGCCGGGGTTGCGGGTTAAGCGCAATGATTCACCGCGGCCTCGGCCCAGAGTAGGAAAAGGAACGGGGGTGTTTTAGTCAGTAAGAGTCTGACACTCTCTCTCGCCTTTCTCCTGACAAAAGGTAATAATCGTAGCATCTATACTACCTACTAGATGTAGATGGATAGATAAAAATTCTTCAATCCTTAATGACATTCAACAGCATAATCGAAAACCCATTAGTCCATTCGATTCCTGCACTACATAAAAAATGGCATCAAAGAATTCTCTTTAACAATTTACTTCAAGTAATTTTCTCATTGAAATTGTTCGGATGAGCGAGTAAACATTTTACCTAATCTGTCGTGAGTGTTATAGCTTAGTATTAATCGTGGCTAATGAGACCTAATCTGTCATCATGAAAATGAACCGTAATTCAAGATGATATGATAGATTTTCAGGTTGGGTTGGTTAAGCTGTTTTGTAAGTACATACTATTCATCACAAAAATTGTTTTTCATATATACACGTTAGGCGTTTTAATCCCTGCATTAGTAGGCAGAAAGTCCACATTTTTATAAAATTTTCACAAGTTTGTAAAATTCCAATCAGATTTTTATTGAAAAAGCTAAAAAATTTTAGGTACTATACTGTGCCCATACCGGGAATCGAACCTTAGACCCATTACAGTCACTCCACCAATGAAGCCAGTTACAGGAATTAGCACTAACATCGAAATCTAAATCTTCAAATCTGCTTACTTCATCAAGGTCAAAGACATTACCCTATTATACCTAACATTTCATTTCTTCATGCCTACAGCCTTCACAGAGTACATAATTCAACTATTTGTCATCATTTCAGCAATTTCAGACGAGTCTTTATGAAAAACAAATGAAAAAGAGTACTTAATCCGAGTTGTCAGAATATTTTTTTGTTTGTTTTCCCGAACTAAATAAGATGTAGAGTCTATTTAGCAAAATAATTTTGAAAACATTCTCATTATGAAAATGTTACCTTTAAGGAAAATGTCGGAAATATAGCTTTTCTCTTCAACATTTATAATAAACGTTAAAACTGTTTGTAGGACATATTATTATATTCTGTTTTATGATTTTGTAGAATAAAGTAATAGTCTTTTAACTGTTGGGTTGGTTGTTTTTATTTTTTTGTCAACGAGGCATAGAAGAAGTTCGGGCTTTTTGATTTTTGTTTTCAAAAGTTACACAAAATCTGAATCTTCCCGAGTGCGCGTAATGAAGTACTGCAGGCTGGAGCAGTAGAAGGAACTGGGTGGTTTTTAGTCAGTAAGAGTCTGACACTCTTCTTGCACATTCTAGACTGAGATAAAATATGTCTCTTGATGATTTTCGTTTCTCTATCAATAAAAGGCTCGCTGACTATCGATTGGATTTCATATTTTGTGTAACGTGGATATATAGATACAGATATATCTTATATGTCTTGGTAGTCTTCGATAGATGGAAAAAATACCTACGTTCAATTTTATTACATTAAAAATCAAAATGCAATAACCGATTTCAGGCAGCACTGAAAACAATTTAAATCTCATAATTATAGTCACTGCACGTCGCATTAATTTCACGCATGAAATTGAAATTAAGATATTAATATTTTAACCATTTTCTCTTTACATTTGCCGATTCAGTTATAAAGGGAATAAATAATTATGCTCTCTTCATTGGTCAGTTACTGGTGCAAGAGCAATGACAGATACAGCTTGGAGCAGGAGAAGGAACAGTGGAACTGTGGCTTATAGTCAGTAAGAGTATGACACTTCCTCTTACCCCAAAAACTCGAAGAAAATCCATTCCAACATAGCTCAAAAAAGCGTCAAAATTTGTCAACCACTCGTGTAGATGACACAGGTGAAATTGTAAATGTCCTTCTTTGTTTTGAAGTCGTTTAAAAAATATCTTCTCATAATAGTAGGAGATTTTAGCAAGCCCGTTTTTATTGAATTTTTTACTATCCAGTTCAAGCACGCTAGTCATGAATAAGAGTTCCATTTTGACTTAAAACCAGTAGAGCTTTTTTAGTTATTTCACGAGAGTGAGTTGTTATTTTCAATAAATTTTGTTTTTTTATGTAGTCGGTCGGCAAACGAGCAAACGGATTACCTGATGGTTAGCAATCAGCGCTGCCCAGGGACACCCGCAAGAACAGAGGAGTTCCGAATGCTTTGCCTACGTTTTTGGGATTTGAGATTTGGAGATTTAGAGATTGAGGAGGGATTGGCGGAGAGGAGGCATTGTTTCACGTGGGTTTTCTGTGAAGCCGTGGTATCAGAATACTTTTATAATTCACCAATAGGGTTTAATGGCCTGTTGATGTTATATGTACGAGTAACTACCCAAATTCCCAATCACAATAGGTATGCAAAGTTTAAAAATCATGGTCGTCCAGCTAATAACAAACAAATCCCCAATTGGTCTCAACAATTCACGGAACATCACTCTTCACTCTCAAACAAAAAACCGGACAACTATTCAAATATCTCAATCAATATCTAAACAACACAATGTATCTAACAAACTAAAACAAATTAATCAATGATTTGACTGACCGTGTTTGCAAACTAAACTGTTATTTGTGAAGTTTGTTTTGTTTAGTTTCTGATTTTGCTGACTGATTTTTTAATATGTATAGGCTGTGTGTATAAGTGATGTCTGTAAAGTCATATTATTGAAAAAAAAATTAGTAACATGAGACCAAAGAGGATATAACCACGCGGTTATATCGTCATTGCATTAGACTCAACGATAAAGATTATTTATTTTTCACATGAATGATAATTGGGTAGTTTCTAGCTAGGTCAAAAATTAATTATTTTAATTAATCAATAAAATGAATTATTCTTATTATATTTGACTATATTATACTTAAATTTTAAATTTTGACTACACTATGATGATATGTTGCGATTTCAAACAAAAACCATAGAAAAGTATCGTTTTTCACATTTCAATAAAAGCATTGATATTGACTTGGTGAAAACTACTGGATTCGAATATTCAGTAACATTTGAATATTATCTGTGACACGTGTACAAAAGCATTTTTTTTTTTTCTTTCATAAAAGTAACACTTTCTATATTTAAAACTATAACGTATTTAGTATAGGAGGCGTGACTAATTTCTCACATGTGACATAATTCCGACTGCTTTGTAAAATATCTCTCAGTAGATGTACTTCAAATCATTCAACGAAATAGGCAGACAATATGAAAAGACTAACGCTGCGATATAGAAGACTGATTTTCAAGAGATTCCAGTCAACAGTTAGGATCGCCAATCCAAAAAACTTATCCTAAGAACATAAAAAAAAAACAAAAAAAAACGTAAACCTTACAAATTCTGTTTGAAAATCACTTCGTTAAAACTTAGACAGGACTATCGTCTTTTCAGCTTCGAGGTGACAACTCAATTTCCCCGTTGCTCATTATCGATGGAGCTTGGCACATCACTATTCAATAATGCAGCGCCGATCGAGACAGAAATGAGATCATTTCGAGAGCAATCGATGTTACTAACTCGATTGTTGCTTAATTATTTCACTCTCTTCTAGATACGTTTGAAGACTGTTCTAGAAAATCGAGATTTTTATTTTATTTAAAAGCATTTATAAATGCGACCCGAGTTCGAAGTTTTAAGTACAGTGCGGCCGACGTATCTTGGCGAGTCTGAAGTTAGCCGTTTGTCTGCGCAATGGATCTTTTAGGAACAAAATTGTGTACTGCGCAGTTAATCGGCTATCTTCAGACTCGCCAGGATACGTCGGCCGCGCTGTATCATAGTCTAAAATGTTGACTGAGTACATTTTCAATGTATTCTTTTTAATATTACGCATTTATTGGCGTTTTATGTTCTTATTTAAACTTACAATTTCTTCTTCCTGTCTAACTAGACTCTTTTTCTAAAATAAAATTATAGTTTTAAATTCTAAAACATGATTTATTATGAACCAAGTCTCATTAAAATCAGTAGTGTAAAATATTTTTGACTTTTAAATGACGTTGTGTGGCGTAAACGCTTTAAATCAAATGTTTGCCATTTAATTTTAACCTAAAACAATTAAAACCTCTTTTTCTCTGTTTCGTTTCACAAATTTCCTACATAGGTGTCAGTGTGGGAGTCTTGTTATCTATGGAGCTTGGAACATCACTATTCAACAATTCTACGCCGATCGAGGCAGAAATGCGATCATTCCGATGGCAATCGATGACACAAACTCGATAGTCACTTAATTATTTCACCACGCTTTTCTGGAATTGTTTGAAGACTGTTTTAGATTGAAGGAATCTGTTTTGAATTGGAGCATTGGGTTGCTACGTTAGTATTGCAAATGTTATTGCAGGTTAATAGTTAGCAGCTACATGGAATTTAAAGAAGAATTCTACAAGCTTCTAATTTTCATATTCACTGTCAAAATCGAAAAGCAGATTGGCAAGATTGTAACGCCGGTACTCAGAGATATTGAAGGATTACTTAACCATGTCTAAGTAGTATTGTAAATTTTGCTATAAAAACAATTCTTGAGAATATTTTTTTTTGACCCTCCCAAAAACAACCATTATATGGCTTTTTCAGTTCATTTTATGACTTCTCCCGCCCTTGAGCGTCAGACACTTTATGTATTATTTAAAAAATTCACCCCGTTCCTTGACCTGACCTGCAACCCCACTTAGACTGGGTTGAGTAAACCATTAAATGACCTTGTGAACTATGGTAAGTCTACTTATTCAAACCTTTAATTTAAGCAAATATCAATGAACTAAACATAATTCTGAATAGCCCATCAAATGCACATCACATACCTGTTACAATTTACTAGGGTTGTCAAACCGCATAATATGATATTACGGCACATCAACCTATAAACGGGTAGGTACTAAATTAAATTCATTGTTCTCGCGTACATTGTCAGACGCGCCACTCCCAGACACGTCATTTCCACATGATTTCCGAAGCGTAGGGCTGTCCGTGTGTCCGTGAATAGCTCTACTGTCCAGGTGACAACTTTGTCAGCTGTTATTGTGTTAGGTATTTTTAGTTGCAATTTAGTCACGTTGACGGCAGCTATTTTTGTTCTTAAATGTCTTTAGAAATTGTGTCACGCAGGGCTACGAAAAATATATTGGTATTGAGATAGGTTAAGTTGGCTGAAATGCCTTTGTAGATGGATGAACATTCTAGATGTTTATTGACTGCAAAATGGATATTGACGACATCTTCATTCTAACATATTCATTCATCTCAATTAAAGAAGTGCTTGTTTAATTTAGACCAAAAGGCAAATTTGTAATGATGATAGATAATGTAAATGGCTAAAAATCTAAAATGCGCTATAACATAAATACGCTTTTCTGTAAGTGATTAAGCTGAAACAATATCCAGAGAAAGAGTCTCAAAAACAAAATTACGTTAAACATCATACTAAAATATTTTACAAAAAGAAATTAGTAAAAAAGGAAAAGTTTATTGTTTTTTTTTTTGTATCGCGACAGCCCTAAAAACTTCAATAATGAAGTCTTTCATCATTTGTTACTTCCCAAATTGTTTGAGTTTTTTTTTTGCGACTTTTTTTGTTGACAAAGGAGAAAAGTTTTCGTAGCGAAGAAAAGTAATATAAGTAATCATATTTACTTATTACGTTTATTTTGTAACACACTGATTTAGGTCTTTGATTGCGTATTTATTATTTATTGTTATGTTTCTTACTTTTGATTTTGATCAAGGGTGATACACGTTCGGCTTTTTTATAAACATTTTTTCTTTTTCCTCTCAATTTAATGTAAAGAAAAATAGGCTACAGCGTCTTTTGAAGGAATCGTGTAGTAAAATGTATAACGTAAAACTTAAACCAAAATAAGCTTACAAAGAAAACATTCTATTTTAAAAACAAAATAAAGAAATGCTTTCAAACTGAAATTAAATAAGCTGATTATTTAATTTCAGTTTGACAAATAAATAGATATTAAATAAAAAAAAAACTTATACATATACGACGATACACGTACTCCTTAAAATCGTCAAAAAACTGTCCACTAACAGGAAAAGAACGAACATTTCAAAATTCGAAAACATACTTTTTAATTACAAGCTCGAAACACGCAAGGCTTTTTCGCTTCTGTCTACCAAAGAGTTTTGTTACACAAAAACTGGCCAGTTTTATAATTACGAGCTAAAAATATAAAAGAACATGGCGTCAAAACGCTGAACAGAGACAAAGGGGTGATAATTAAGAGACCAGAATCATGTGAACTAGCTCTCATTAGGCTACAGTCTCTTTTGTCAAAGAGCCTTTAATGAAGGTAAGATTTTAAAGGGAAATCTTTTTAAACTAATTTTCATGACTTTGCAAATTTGGACGATCAACATTGGTTATGAGATAGGGCAAATGATCTGAGGGATAACCTGATGGTAGGCAATCACCACTGCCCATGGATACCCTCAACACCAGATGAGCTTTTTCAAGGGCCTATCCACAACCTCCTTTGCTATGTATTTTTATGTGAGTCTCTTGTTTTTCAGGTATCCTTTTATAGATCACATTTACCATTAGACAGCCCGTAAGCTTTGTTATAACAAAACTATAGTACTAAACTATATTAATATAAAGAAACTTGGTTATCATTTAAAAAGGTAGGTTTAATTACCTTAATAAGTCCAATAGAAGAATCAGCTCGCTCCAGGCTACAAATGCTGAACTGGATCGAAGGCAGGTCAAGACGATGGGACAGTTGGCGCTGGAAGGTCTGGTGACGCGTCGGAACTATTGGCAGGGTCGTTTGACGAAGAACCTGGAATCAAAATATTGGGTTAGTACAATAGGTTCTTTATTTTGCTGTTTAAAAATGATGCGTTTCAAGTCGAGGTCAAAGCATTTGTATCAAATCCAACCAAAAAAAAAAACAGTTTAGTCAAGAATCCACAAATTTGAGTGAGTTACCGAAGGCTGATATTTTCCCTTCCATTTCTAATACCCAAATCCCTTAGTCCCCAAATCCGCAACCCCCAAAAGAAGACCCACTTGGAGCTACTCTACGCCATGGCAGGCGATGGCTTACCGTAAGGTGATCAAAACAGTTATCGTCATCAACAGCCCCTAATAAACTACATGTCCAGAATTGGCCTAAAGACCTTGTCTACATAAAAATATTGGCGGTAAAGTTGTAAGCGCAATATGTAATGTACCACTCAGTTACAATCTTGACGATATAGGAGAAGCAATGATCAAAATTTTAAAAAAATGTTGATAAGAAACCGCTGCTGCCCGATTTCTAACAAATTCTGACTGATTTAATGTTATGTATCCATTTAGTTTGTTTAGCCACAGAATGAGAAAAGAAAGGTATCAAATTTGTAACACAAAGTTTCAACATATTAAATTGCTGCTGGAAAAAATCGACCTTCAGCAATAGGTATTAATGATCAGCCGGGGCAAGCGCAATGTACCGCGTCCTAGGCCTGGAGCAGGAGAAGGAACGGGGAGGTCTTTAGTAAGAGTCTAACATTTCATTTCGCTCCATCCAGAACGAGAAAAATCATTTGATGATATACTACATTTTAAACAAATAAACAATGTTTACGATATCTCACTGGACAATCTGCGGTAACCTTTAAATTAATTCCATTTAGTCCCCAAAGTCTTGATAAATAGGCGTTTACAGTCATAAAAACAAAGTTAACACCGTTTTGTGATTTCATGAATAAATAAAAGCCTATTTGATAGTCTCATTGGTCCAATGACCCGAAGAAGAAGGAGAAGTGGAAGAGGCATGCTTTTGCGCGCATGGGCCGGCTGTACCGGAGTGATATCACTTCATCACAGAATACCATTCACGTTGTGTTTTGCCGTGTGAGTCAGGTTATGAGAAGCCCAATTCTCTACCCCTCCCCTGCCCCCCATATCGTCAAACCAAAAAAGGCCGGTATTACTTCGGTATTAAGAGTGTCTATGGGCGGCTCTAATTGCTTACCATCACGTAATTTAACAGATCGTTTGCCGAACTATCCGATAAAAAAACATTATCCAAAAAACCGTGGCATTATTTCAAGTTTGGAAGTCCTGCATCTAACATAAGTCATAGTAACATCAGAGCGATCATAAGAGCATTTCTGAGGTTTGCAAAGGCTAAGGGCTTTGTTATTGTGCATCACATTCAGAACCAAGCATAAGCGTTAATTCACGCGGTTACTCTTTGAAGCCGTGGTAGCTCTTCGTCGTGCAAGTCTATGCGTGTCAAGGCATGATTTTCCCAAACTAGAAAAAACATAAATATTTGTTTCATAGGGCTAAGACCAAGAAGAAACGATCCTGATAAATTTTCCTTTTAGTCAGAAACCACAGTTAAATAGATATTTACTTATTTTCGAATAAATAAGAAAGTTTTTAAAAGGAAATTTGAAAACGTAAATAACCAGTGAAATATCAAAGGAGAATTTAATGGCTGAGGCTCCTTATAAAGAAAGTTTACACAGCAAACCTAGCTCGAGTTAATGCCAAATAGCATTTAAATGTAAATGCTAACTAACTATCAACTTTTTGCTAACTACATAAAGTTAAATATGGGCTAAATGTTTGCTTAATAAAAATTAATATTTACCTAATTCTTATTGGTTGTCGTTAGCATCATCAGAAAAGTCAATTATGGTTAAAAGATTTCCCATTGGAAAGAGGTAAGTTTCTCTTCGGCTCCAGTTGTCTATAAGGAAAAAAAATCTGATGACTGAATGAATGACTTTATTGGTGAACTAGCTTCCACCCGCGTGGTATATTGCCTATGTCCTATTCCGGAGTGTATCCTATGCCTGTGCCAAATTTCTTTCAGATCCGTCCAGCAGTTTTGGCGTGATTGAGTAACAAACATGCAAACATCGTAACTTTCTCATTTATAATATTCGTAAAGTAGAATGTGCGCTTTCTATATCAATTTAAAACGTTAAATAAATATTTTTTCTTTTCCTACGAAATCAATAACTTTCGACCGTATCGACGTATGACGTCACAAATTAGTATACTTTGTACCGAGCGGAGGTAGTGGCCACTTGTTCGAAAATGCATATAAAAACCCATATAAGATGCTGCTGTCTGTCTTATAGCCGAGACAATATTATTCAAATGATTATTTTGCCAACTGCTTAAAATAGTCGTTCTAGCTAGTTCTGTGATGGCAGTACAATTTGAGTAGCTGTTTACTTGTAGACCTAACCCAACCTACCATCCTGGTAGCATTTCAATTTTCATGACAATCCCTTCGCCCTTTAACTTACAGCCTAAATGAGAAATTTAGCCATTCAATCAAACGACTAGTAATTTAGGTCATTGGTTTAATGGCTAATTCAACTATTTGGCTACGACACACACACGCTGATATTCTTGCTAAGTTCAAGGTGAGATCTACAGTAGTTCATTATAAATGGTTCAACAATTTGGGCGTTAAAGAAACCAAATTTCCATTCACAATATTATTATAATCCCTGGTAGGCGTATTTAAGTTCTTTAAGATACGTGGGCATTGTAATTTTCTAAAAATAAATCATAACTTTTGTTAAAATTTTGGTAATCGCTTATAAGTTAAAATGTTTTTGAACAAATTTATTAGATAAAATACAAAACTTACAAATTTTGACGCTTCTTTATTTTCAAATTAACGGAAAATATTTTGCTGTGGTAACACTTAGCAACTAAATGTCAGCGACCAGCAGCTGTTAGCAACAGACATTTTTTTTCTATTAAATTTAAAAGTGGAATTATTTCTACGAATCCGTTGAGAAGTTCACAAAGCGTATTTATTGTATAAAGTAGGAATCCGTAGAAAATTTATGTTTGTGCTTATTAAAGTACGGAACTCAATTTTGTACGAAATTGTATAGTGTCTAGTGTCAATTATGGCTTCCTTTATACATCATCAGCCTGATGTCGTCCACTGCTGGACATAGGCATCCCTAATTGCTCGCCACTGAGCTCGATGTTCAGCTCTTCTCATCCAACCACTGCCAGCCACCCTGCGGATATCGTCAGTCCACCTAGCAGGAGGCGCCCTACTAGACGTGGTCTCCACTCTAGAACGCGTTTACCCCAACGGTCATCGGTTTTTCGACAGATGTGACCTGCCCACTGCCTCTTTAGTTTGCTAAACCTTTGGGCTACAACAATATTTTACAAAAATCAAAATTATGGCTAAAAATTTAACGCGATATTTCAGCGATTCCAAGAATAAACTTCGCGGGGTCAGCTAAAATAATACAAAAGGATCCTTCTGTACCGACACATAAAACAGCGCTAATTTACAGAACCGTAAAAAACAAATACAATATTATAATTATTATAATTTTATCTTCGGTTAGCCTCAGGCATTTCGTAAAATGAGGAGGCGAATGTTGTCCGACGTATTATTTATATAAAAAGCCCTTAGGTACTGAGATATTACGATACAAGGCTTTTTTTATATTATATACTCTCATTGACGTCATAGTCTGTAACCACGAGGCGTAGACAAATATTTTGTTCAAAAATATTTTCAGCACATAAATAAAATAGTGAAGAGTTTTTTTGTTAACATGTAAGTAATCAAAGGTCGAAGAGTCAAATCATTTTATAATAAAGATGTCTTTATTCATGTCTTTGATGGTATCAAAGACATGATAAAGACACACTTGGACTTTTTTTTTATGTAATAGGTCGGCAAACGAGCAGTCGGATTACCTGATGGTAAGCAATCGCGCCGCCCATGGACACCCGCAACGGAGGAGTTACGAGTGCGTTGCCGACCTTTTAGGGATTAGGGATTTAGAGATTTAGAGACTGAGGAGGGATTGGGGGAGGGGAAGGATTGGGCCTCCGGCAACCTCACTCACACGGCGAAACGTTACTTCACGCCGGTTTTCTGTGAGGCCGTGGTATCACTCCGGTCGAGCCGACCCATTCGTGCCGAAGCATGGCTCTCCCACACTTAAATCATAATAAACTCCCTCACTTAAGTCAAACAAAATAATTAAGTAGGTTTAAAAAGTTAATAATTGTCAGTCTGTATGTCTGTCCCTTAAAGAAGATATTGACTCGACCAACAGTGTAAATTCTTTTGCCAAACTTCGAGCAAGATACTCCATGGTTACTCTTTATAGCCTTCCTTTTTTGTATCCTCAAAGCCATCTTCGATAAATGTACTATTTATTAGAAAAATAAAAATTAAATCTTCTTAAACAAAGTCATAGAGTACAGAGTCATAAAAGTAATTAGACTGTGAACGATTGAACCTGAACAAGATACTTACAAAAAGAAAGAGAAGAAAATATAAAAAATAAGCTTTTTTTATATTTATTTCGTAAGTAGTGTATGGTACCTAACTAGAATTAAATAAGAACTACTTGTAGAATCGTCTCTGTTACAATTCATTTTTGTTAATATTTTGTAAGATAATTTCAAATGAATTTTGTTGCTAAGCGAATATATATGTATATTTTCTGTTGTCTCTTGGCCCTTTTTCTTTATGTTATTGAAGGGATTGTCTTGACGTCGGGGTGACCCGGAGGTTAAATCCTTGTCGCTGCCTGTTAGAAACCTGACAAGTACCGATGACTTTTCCGAGTTATATGTACTTTCTATGATTATTTAGACACCGCTGGCATTCGGTGAAGAAATACATCGTGAAGAAACCTGGACTTATAAGTTTGAAATCACCAATCCGTCTTGAGCATGCGTGGTGATTAATGCTCAAACCTTCTCCGTGTGAGAAGAGGCCTTTGCTCAGCAGTGGGCACTTTTATGCTGATTATGTGATGTGATATGTTTTGACCA